AACTGATCAACCAACTAATAAGCCAACTGACCAACTAACCAACCAACCAACCATGTATCTTTGGTCAGGATCCATGTCATGGCCAGAGGTTTGAATCATAGATGAACCGGTAAATCAAGAGCTTTATCTTTCAGCTCAGGTCCTTCTTCACCACGACAAACCGAAGCAACAGCCTCATTACTCTGAACCTCCAAAAACATGACACCAGTGAACACCTACCTGTTGGTGTGGGAGTTGTTGTGCATGAACCAGGAGCGGTTGTTGTCCACATACATGGCCCAGGCCTTGTCGTCTTTCCCCAGCATCATCTCCTTCATGGTGTTGATCCTCGCCACACCAAATGCAGGGTCTGGGTGGTTGTCATAGCGATCGACGCTGACCTCCCAGTAGTGAACGCCCTGAGATTTGAGGGAAAGAAAAAACTTTCAGAAAATTAAATAAATAAAAAAGCCCAGAGACCTGTATGTAATGTTTCTGTGACACTTTAAAGACCTCGCACCTTAGAAAAAGCAGCAGTCCCCAGAACCACCCGGTCGTCGTAGCTGTTACACGAAGCTGTCTGGTTTTCATTCGTCAAAACGATGTCCCGGTGAGCTGAGGTGGGGTCAAAGGTGAACCATGCCACTGTACGAAGAACACGACATTTAGCCTGTAGTGTATTTTAATAAAAACTTATTACAACCATGGAAAGTAATTTCCCTTTAAACTGTACAACCGCAGTCATTTCGCTGTTGCACCCGTCACAGAAAACGCGTTTGTTAGCAACAGCTCAGCTAACACTCAACACAAACACCGTTCTTTGTGCGTTTGGTCAGAAATGTCAACACTCTGTTCAGGAACAAGTGCAACTAGAAAAATTGCATTTCCTATAAAAATGCAGTGTGAATGTTGAAAAAATTGCTGAAAAACAGCTGAACTTAGCTAAAATAAAACATGCTGAAATGTAGCTAAAATGAAAGAACAAGCCTTAATTAGCAGAAGAACGCAGAAAGAACATACTTTTGCTGAGTTAGGTTTAAATTTGCAAAAATGAGCACAAAAATTAGGAAATTAGTGAAAAAAAAGTTGAAAATAGAAAAAAAAAAAAAGTAGCTGAAATAACAGAAAAAGCCAAAACTAGCAGAAAAAAGCTGAAAGGAGCATAACAAGCTGAAATTAGCATAAAGAAATTAATTAGGTTGAAAGTAGCAAAAATTAAATTGAAAATCTTGAAATTATGTGAAAAAAGCTGAAATTAGCTAAAAAAAAATATGCTAAAAGGTAGCTGAAAAGGTGGAACAAGCTTAAATTAGTAGAAGAAAACAGAAAGTGATGTTTGCCCAATTAGGCTGAAAGAAGCAGAAATGAGCACAAAAAAGTGGAAATTATCTGGAAAAAAGAAAAAAAAACATGAAAAGTAGCTAAAATTGCAGAAAGAAGCTTAAATTACCAGAAGAACACATTTTTTGCTGAATTAGGCTGAAAAAAAGTTGAAATGAGTGCAAAAAACGTGGAATTAACTGAAAAGGCTCAAATTAGCATTAAACAGCTAAATAGTGGCTGAAATAGCAGAAAAAGCTGAAACTTGCATAAATAAGCTGAAAGCAGCATAACAAGCTGAAATTGGCAGAACGAAGTTAGAAGAAGCATAAAAATGTTGTAGTTAACAGAAATAATCTGAAAGAAGAACAAAACAGCTGAAAGTAGCTGAAAGTAGCTGATAAAGGTTTAAGTTTGCACAAGGAAGCTGAAAGAAGCTGAAGCAGAACAAAATGTGAAAGCAGCAGTAAAAATATTGTGAACAGATCTAAAAATATGAAGGATAAAAAATGAGCTCAATTCATTTTTATGAGAAAAAAAAACGACAGAAAAAGCTAAAGGTGCACCAATACCAAAAGTATTGTAAGTAAAGGTCTTCTCCTGAAGAAGCTGAATGTTTTGATACTGCTGAAGTTACTTAAAAATTGCGGGACGAGAACCACACCGAAAAATGTACAGAGTACGGACAGAAGTTGGAATAATAAATATAAACAAGCAAACAATAGTGTGAATGCCTAAAATCATTCACACAACAACATGCTGCTTCATGAACAAATGATTAAAAAGAGAAATGATGCTGAAAACATGCAGACGTGTAAAATTGGACGTAAGACGCTTTGTTTGCTTGGCAGCCTGACAATAAACAACCCGCCCAACATCATTACTGTCAATTCTCAAAGAAAAGAGGAAGACGGGGGGAAAGAGGGATTTTAGGGAGGAAGAATAATGACACAGCAAGTACAAAAAGAGCAGGGGGGATGAAGAGTTATCAGGCAGAAAGCAGACTAATGTGTGTTGTTGTTGCAGCTGAAGAGAAAATGTGTGGCTGTGCTTTGAGGAAACTCCAACGCTGCTGCAGCGTTTCCCCTCTTCTCTCTTTTTTCACACATTCCTACTTTCATTCACCTCCCGTCTCGCTCTTCTTGCCTTTCTTTTCTGTCCTCTCTTCCCCTGTCTGTTTACGTAACCGTCTCTGCATCATCTTCCCCTTCAGCTGCCATCATCTTCTTTCCCCTCGTTTTTATTTTCACTCCGTTTTGCATTTGTCCAGTTCTTTGCATCCATCCTCTCTCCTCATCGTTCGTGTGAAACGTATCTGAAGTAAAACATTTAAAACCCCCTCTTCTACAGCTTTTACCATCAACACAAGAAGTATCCTGTGACTGTTTTACACAGACAAGCAAAATGAAAGTAGCGTTCCTTGAAGGAATGCATATCGCCCGCCGTCTTGCATGCCAAGCTTTTAAGCAAAGCTGCCACAAAAACTGCTAAGGAAGTTTCTCAGTGGGCTGCAGTGTTGGCGACAAACTGCAAAACTTCTCCACGATGTCTCGAAACGTTTGCAACGGTTCTTAGTTTCAAAGTATCGGTCACGGGGCTTCGCTTCTGTGTCGCAGGAATTATGAACGTGCTCAAAAGGTTCGTCATCACGAGCGTCTAGAACCCTTATAAATAAAGATAATATATTTGTAGAACGCCAGAGATGTATTTTGGGGCAATATTTAAGCAAGCGTCTTATAAATGTTGTCACTCGTATCGCAAATGTGTCGTTTAACGTGATTCCAAGAGAAAATCGTGTACTTTATCGCAATATTGTCTTCAAACAGCCTGCGTCTGTTGTGGAACGTTAGGTAAAATGTCAATGTAACTTAGATGAACACATTTCATACAGAATAAGCTAGAGACAATACAATTACTGCGAAAATGCAGTGGGAATGCTTGTTGCAGAAGAACTTTCTGAAAACAGCTGAAATTAGCTAAAAACATGCTGAAATGGAAGAACAAGTTTAACTTAGAAGAAGAAGAAAGTGGGAAGAAAACAAATTTTCTGAATTAGGTTTAAATAAGCAAAAATGAGCACACAAATGTGAAAAATTAGCAAAAATAATAGCTGAAAGTAGCTGAAAAGTTAGAAAGAAGCTTAAGCTACCAGAAGGAAGTGGAAAGAGCTGAAATGAGCTCCAAAATGTGGAATAAGCTGAAAAGACTAAATTGAGCATAAAAGAGCTAAATAGCAGCTGAAATACAGAAAAAGCGGAAACTAGCAGAAATAAGCTGAAATTAGCATAACAATGTTAATTAGGCTGGAAGTAGTGGAAATTACCATAAAAAACTTGAATTTATCTGAAAACAGCTGAAATTAGCTAAAAAAAATAGCTGAAAAGGTAGAATAAGCTTAAATTAGCAGAAGAAAGTCAAAATAACACATTTGATCAGTTAGCTGAAAGAAGCAGTAATGAGAACAAAAAAAGTGGAAATTATCTGGAAAAAGCAGAAATTAGCAAAAATTAAAAAACTGCAGAAAAGTAGCTAAAAAAGCAGAAACTACCAGAAGGAAGTGGAGAGACCACATTTTTGCTGCATTAGGCTGAAAATGTTGAAATGAGTGCAAGAAATGTTGAATTAGTTGACAATGCTAAAATTAGCATAAACCTGCTAAAGTAGCTGAAATAACAGAAAAAGCTGAAACTTGCAGAAATAAGCTGCAAGGAGTAAAACAAGCTGAAATTGGCAGAAAGAACTTAGAAGAAGCACAAAAATGTTGTAGTTAGTAGAAAGAATCTGAAAGGAGCACAAAACAGCTGAAATTAGCTGAAAGTAGCTGAAAAAACATTAAATTTGCACAAGGAAGCTGAAAGAAGCTGAACCAGAGCAAAATGTAAAAGGACCAGTGAAAGGTAACACATCTAAAGATTTGAAGAATGTAAAATTAGCTCAATTCATTTATGAGAAAAAAAAAATGTCAGAAAAGGCTAAATATTTCAAAAAGCTAAAGTTGCACCAATATCCAAAGTCGTAGCAGGATTGTCCTGGAAGAGCTGAACATTTTCATATACGAGTTGTTGAAATAGCACAAAAATTGTGGAACGAGAATCGTGCTGAAAAACGTACAGAAGAGAAATGGATGACAATAGTGTGAAAGCTTCATAAACATTCACACATTCAGTTCATCTAAATTATAGTTTAACAGATGATAAAAGACGATGTTGCTAAAAAGCACATGCACTATTGCAAATTCATCCAAAGTGCTTTTATTTTGAAGAGTCAGAAAAGGATGTGATGTTTTCCTGTTGTAAGTAGAGTACAAATATTGATTGATTGATTGGATTCGTATGGATCAGCATCATTTATGCAGATCCTGAATCAACAAACTTCACTGTTTCTGTAAAAACGTCTCATTTGTGGACGCGACTCTCTGTAGCAGCCATCTTCAATCGTTTGCAGATGTGCACCCAAAGAGTTTCTTTCAAATCCGTCCAGTGGTTCATGAAATATTTAACTAACAGACTAAATGTGCACACGCGCAAACGCAGGCACTTACACCGTCGCCCACCTTTCACGGCGACGTGCGACCAACAGTAGAATCCACGCAGTCGAACAAAAGCAGAACCCTCAGGAAGCGAGTTCTCGTCACACGTACCGTCAGAAGTCTTCAGCACCACCGTCTTGCTGTACGGTCCCACGCCGACGTTGTTGTAGGCTTTCACCCGGGCGTTGTAGGAGCTGTTGAAATGCAGCCCGTCCACCGTGCACACCGTCTCCTTCCCCACGTACACCTCCTTAGGGGAAAACGCAGCACACCCTTACAAACGTGAGCACACACAACTTAACAGGTCGTGCATGCTGCATAGAATTAATACATGTGCTTTAACTCATGACAGGATTAATCAGACAGACGCTAACCTCTATCTGTGTTTGTGGCTGCAGCACATTAATTATTAATGAGCGCTACAAGAACAAGTATGACATCATTTGCTGTTTTTCCTATTAGACAAAGCATTAGCTGCTCTGTACGGAGAATGTTGACGAAAACAGCTAAAGCTCACGTAAATATTTGAAATGAAGCTAGCATCAATACATGTGTAACTCTGTCAAATTTACAAAAACCTTGTGTGGTAGCAGCTGTCATCTTCATCGTGCTAACAGATCGAATAAATACAACCTTGTAAAACGGCCTTAAACTGTGCATAACATTATTTTTAATATTTGACCAAAATGGCTACAACTCGTAAGTTTAAATCTCTGGCTTGAGACATAACAAATTCTATTCTGTCAAGAAATGCTAGGCTTTTACCGTAATTTACAAACTATTGAGCGCACTCGACTATAAGCCACGCCCACTAAAAAACAATTGTACATATATAGGCCGCGCTTATGTATAAGCCACGGGTGTCCAACATGAGATGTTTACACAGAAAGATTTCTTAAACTTTTAATTAAATACATACCGGTATGGTAACATAAACAAATACGTACAGTAAATGTTTTATTTTTTTGTTTTTTCTGAACAGTGCATGTAACACGACTGGTAAAAAAAAAAAAATTAAAAAACAGAAATAATGCTATCGCTATCTTCACCTTCCTCCTGTGCAAACTTGCTGTCCTCCATCACACAGCTGCCTTTCAAAACAGGGACACACGTTGGGTGCACAACAGAGAGGGGAGGACAGAACGGGCCGTTTCATTGGTCCGATTTTTTTTAACCTTTATTTATACAGGTAGTCTCATTGAGTCACGAGGACCCACCCCCCAAGACAGACGTGTATTGGGCAGCTGTGTGAGCGCCCGGGTGTGACAAGGTTAAATGTTTTGGCAGCATGAAGCTCGTTAGCCCATTATAAAATAAAATTAAAATTCCATAAATTAGCCACAACATTGTATAAGCCGTGGTAAAGCGTGTGAAAAAAAGTAGCGGCTTATAATCTGGAAATTACAGTAATTTGTTTCTGCTTATTTTAGTGCTTATATATTACTACTCACAATCTTTAATTGCATTACTATATAATATGAATGAAGGATTAATAGACAGTTTGAATCTTTGTGTTCTGCGTCACACACAATGAGCTGAAACTAACCCTGTACTGTCCTCCGTTGCCGTCGTCCAGCTCCAGGATGTAGCCCTCCATGGGGTTCTCCGGCGGCACCGTCACCCTCCAGGCCAAGGTGGCGCTGTTATTCCTGGTGCAGCACTTCTCCAGCTGCAGGAGGGGGGCAGGCGGCACCGAGGGTCCGGACTCCACTGAGAGAATGGATGAAACGCGAGTTAGGAGACCGGGGAGTAGTAACAGAGAAGGAGGGAGGGAAAGATGCGAGGGGACACAAACGGGGGTGTCGTCATCAGGCCGGTGGTGTTTGAACAAGCTGGAGGAAGAGAACAAGAGCTTTAACGAGAAGCTGGTGGGAGATTTAAAAACAAGAATCCTGGTTCATTCAGGCGACAGCTGGGGAACTTACCGTATTTTTCACCATATAAGTCGCACCGTTTTGCATAAATTTGCAAATCCTGCACCTTTTACACCGAAGCAACTAATATACGTTTTTTCCTCATATTTATAACCCAATGTTTGTCTGAGATCTGACGATTTCATTCATTGCAACATGAAAATATTAAGCACTACTATTTGCAGCCGTTAGAGGGCCCTCGGCTAATATGGCAAGCCAAATGTCTCATTCATAGGTAAAAGTGGCTATTAATGAGACACTTGGCTTGCCATATCAAGCCACCTTCATCTTGCTCCTGGAACAAACGTCAAATCAGCTGCATTTCACCGCGCCGCCCAGGCGAAATGCAGCTGATTTGACCATTAAAGTGCATTTATTAAGGAAAAGTTCAACTGAGACACACCTTTACCATAATTTAGAGCAAACAAATAATTGTTTTTAGGTGTTAATCTTGTTAAATTTCAAAGAAATGCACAGCGAGTCGTCGCTCTGCGCGCTCCCGCAGCTGCAAATCGACTTTTGAAATGCAGCTGATTTGACCATTAAAGTGCATTTATTAAGAAAAAGTTACACTGAAACACACGTTTGCTATAATGTCGAGCAAACGAATAATAGTTTTTAAGTGTTAATCTTGTTAAAAATCCTCCCGTGCACGCTCCCGCTGCTGCCATTTTGGCAGCCGATCGTTTTTTTTAACACAACACCGGCCCACGTTTCCAAGGGTCAGCGGTGATGCGTAATAGATGCGACTTATACGGCGAAGCAACTTATTCATGTTTTTTCCCACTTTATTAGAAATATTTGGACAGATGCAACTTATACGGCGGAAAATGTGGTAACTGGGTCACGTGAGAACACTCAACACTGAAGGGTAGAAGTGTAAAGGTGCAGCAGGTTAGACTGATATGAGCTTTAAGATCGCTGAAGGGGAGAGAACGGCTTCATATAGACACTAAAGATTATAAAGTCCTCAATTTGGAGAGGATTGTATGGTTAAAAATACAGTATAAATGGATAAATGAGAGGATTTGTAGTAAAAAGCTGTGTATCAGTCTGAACCTTGCATGGAGTGACTGGACTCCTAACAAGTCTGAAACAGACAACAAAATGCAGAGCAATGTAAAGAGCTTTTTATTTTTTATTTTGGAACATCGATCTGATAAATACAATGTTTGTGAAAACACGGGGGAGAGGCAGCAATCATGACTGAAGGAACAGAATGAGAGGGTTTACAAAACACAGATTCTCATTGGATTGAGATGCTTTAAGCAACCTGACTCAGTTATTTTGATCTTTTTCTGTATTTGTGCAGCACTTTTTCTGCAGAGGATCCGTTTGCTGGGGAGGAGCTGGAAAACAAGATTCATGCAGAGGAAGAACAGCACAGAAACACTGCGGGACAAAAAGGACCGGGGGGTTTCCAACCAGAGAGACCGCGAGGCCTGTCAGGTCTGAGGGACGAGGAAGGAATGAGAAAAAAAACGAAGGATGGAAACAAAAGCATTGTCAGCCTCTGAAATACCTCCGGGGCTCTCTGTCTCCATCTCAGCCTCATCACTGTCTGCTGCCTGCATTTGTTTCAATAACGGTCTCTCGTGCACATCTGGAGACACCAATGGTTCGGACGTTTCAGGACGACAACACATGGACAGAAAATGGCAGCAAAGAGTGAGAGCAGTCGTTTTAAACTGGTTCAGATCCTGAAGCGTAAACAGGATGTTGTTTACAACTCAAACCATGATCAAAATAACAAACAAGAAAAAACTGCAAACTACTGCAGGTATAAAACATCTCTGATCCTCATGGTCCTTCTCCAGATTGTTTGTCATCATCTGTCATTTAGCGCTCTTTTCTCTTGTTTAATAAATTATTTATTTTTACTCTCAGGTCCTCCTGAGTTTTTGGTTTGGCACTTTGGGTTCACCATTCTCAACCAAACACGATAAAAAGATCTTCAATTTTAAGAAACTATATGAGGAAATAAATCGGTACACCTTCCTGTGATTGATCCGTTCAAACAAACCAGGGTCCAACTTGTGTAGAAATCCCTTAAAACAGGTTAAAATAAGGATGCATGATATTGGATTTTTGGCCGATATGTTAAAACTTATTTGGCCGGTAACCGATACCAATACCGATATTTTTTCTTCTAAACCCACTTACAGAGGCTACACAGCTTTCTCTGCTGCGGAAATAAAATACTAAAATATTCTGCATGGTCTTTGTCAGTTTGGCCTGCTACCAATGCAGATGCTGAACTTGGATTATGTCTAATGTCAAATTTATTCATGACATTTACTCTCTCTAACACAATGACAACACTTGAACGGTGCAAATTTGAAAAATTTTCACAAATCTAAACTCAACGGCGTGTGTGATGTCATAACGTGCTGGCACTGTAGGCATCCTCATCACTGGGTTGTCATACAAAAACAGTGCCATATATATATATATATATATATATATATATATATATATATACACCCACACACACACACAAACAGCGACTTTTATATTGGTGAGTTATTTTGATGGAATGTCCGATGTCCGATATTTAACTTTATCGCTAACATCAGCTGATACCGATACCATGCTGATAATATCGTGCATCCCTAGGTTAAAAAAAGATAAAAATAAAATAAAAACTGTTGATTGTTGACATGTGCTGCTGACTATTCATGTTGCTGCTGATTTATTCCATGTTTCTGTGTTCATTCGTCCTCATCAGCTCACACAGACTCATGTCCGTGCTGCTGTTCGGCGTATTGTTTTTGTACTACTAGTGCTTAGCGTATTATTAGTTTAGCATATTTCTTAGTTCGTATCTTAGATCTTATTACTGTTTTTCTTTTACATTTTATACTTTTATTGGATGTAACTGAGACCCTGTGTGCACGACAGTTCGTTCCACCACATGTACCACATGCGATGCGAATGACAATAAAGAACCTTGACCTTGAAAACACCAAAAAACTCTGCAATGACTTTAAAACCAAACCTCGTGTCAAATTAAAAATAAAATACGTTCTTGGTTCGTTACCAGCATTTCTTTAACAAACGGTAAACATTTTATAGAATAACTGTTAAAATAAAACTAGAGCTTAGTACTCCAGTACTAAAAGGAATGTCAGACAGGAAATTATAAAATGCAGAATAGTCGTTTTAAACGGATAATTTTTTGACTTGAACTGTTGGAGAAATGGGGGGGGGGGGGTTGTGGACCTGGCGAGCACCGTCTGACTCGTCAGATCGGACTTTCTCATGAAATGTGGGTGTTCACATGAATTTTTTTATTTTTGGTTCAAGAAAACGCCAGAACGTTTTAAAAACTATTCAATGTAGATTGTATAGACCGTAAAACTATCATATAAATACAAGAATTATCATGTGTCTGGCATCTCTGAAGAGAATTCATAAATCATTTTTTGGTTGTTGTTGTTCTGGGTTGTTCGTAATACCAAAATGTAGTGCTTTCAAAATAAGAGCTCAGAGATGTGTTGTTTTTTTTTTTAAATCATGTTCTAGTTGATGAATAATAATAAAAATCTTCACGTCTTGCCAACTGTGACAATAAAATCAAAAAGTGAAAAGTTGTTGGATAATGGATCCGACTGCAGGTTTACTTGTGGTTCCTATAGTTTCCAAAAGTAGAATGAGAAGACCATCTTTCAGTTATCAGGCTCCTCTCTTGTGGAACCAACTTCCAGTTTTTGTCCATGAGGCTGACCGTTTGTCTACTTTTAAGATTAGTCTTTCCTTTTTGATCAGTTCTATAGTTCGGGTCAGCTTGGGTTTCCTGAGCTATCCCTTAGTTATGCTGCTATAGGCTTAGACTGCTGGAGAACAAACTAACCACATTTCCTCACTCTGCTGCTGATTTTACTTACTCTACCTGTTTGTATTTGTATTTATTTATATTTTAACACGTTTTTTTTTTGTCTTTCCTCCTATAGAAACCACACCTGGACCTGTCATTCTGTGTTTGTCTGTTTCTACTTCCTGTCCTCTCAAACAGGTTGAAGCAGATGGCCGCTCGTCCTGAGCCTGGTTCTGCTGGAGGTTTCTTCCTGCTGAAAGGGAGTTTTTCCTTTCCACTGTCTCCTTTGTGCTTGCTCAGGATGGGACACTGTGAAGAAATGAAGATTCAACACAATCTGCTGCTTCCTTAGATTGATAACTTTTATTAATTGTCTTTTTTATGTATGCAAATGTTTCTGTCCCTGAGACGCCTTCTGTTGTGACTTGGCGCTGAATTGAATTAATCATTTATTTTCTTACATGCTGTGCAATGTTTTTTACTTGATGTTTAATTTAGACCAACAAGTGTTATAATTTCTCCTTTTATCTTCATTAATGTAAATATCCAACGTTTCACTGTATGCTGTATTCAAATAGATCACATTTGGTAAGAAAACTGCCAACTTATTTGGTTTTAAACCATCAACTTTACACCAAACATGAAGTTAAAAGTCATAATTCGGTTCCAACTTAAACTTTGCTTAGATGTTTATTTTGATTAAGTTTAAAAATAACTGATCTGATAGTTTTCCTTTGAATTCTTAGGCAAATCAAAAGCATTTCTCTGTTTGTGGGAAGTGTAGCATTTTTTTCTTAATAATTAAACAAGATTATTTATTCATTTTATAAATAAAAACGTCGGAGAAGCCTGAGGAACGGGTTTGGTTCTTAAAGATGCAACAATCACGACGATGTGTTCACCTCAAGCAGCGAACAAAAACTCCCAGAGTTCTCTGCTCGTAAAAACGACTCCCACGGCGTCACTGCTCGGGATGTGAAAGATGAAAAGTCGGGGAGTAAAACCTGACTGTCAATCTTTAAACTCTGCTGCTTTGTTGTGGCTGATCGGTGGGATGTGAGGGCGGGGAAGTGAACCGAGACGGTTTCTTGTCGCCGTCCTGGAAGAACAAAGACGAGCTGATCAAAGCCCAAACGAGCCCGACTGCAGCTCGAATTAGACGAAACTTCCTTCAAGCGCAGCTCGACTGAAACTGTGCCCCGCCGATGTTTATCTCTGAAAACATTCACTTGGTTTAAATCGTGTTTTGCATGTTTTAATTGATTAAAAACTCTGAAAATGGCTGCGTCTTTTTTAACGAATGCAACTAATGAAATGTAGGAATGTATTCGTTTTTTAAAGCGTTAATGCCCGTTAGCGCAGTGCGACGAATACAACACGAAGAAGTCACGCTGACTCCAGATTTGAAGAAATAAAATGTTTTGTTCCTCAAAAGACCCACGTGCTGATAAATTACACATGCAGCGCACGTTAATACATCTGAGAGATCCTGAGAGCAAAATAAAAGAATTAGTTTCACAAAAGAATCCACGTCTTTATAGACTGAGATACTCACCTGACGAGGTAGCACGTATGTAAAGGGTTAAAAAATGCCACTGGGTGCTCACCTTTGCCCTGACGAAAGTCCAGCTGCAGGATGGTCTGCAGCAGTGAGTCTGTGCTGAGGGTGAGGTCAAAGTCGGGGCCGGCCTTCGGCTCCAGGGCCCCTTTCACCCACTGGTCCTGAGACGACGTCACCCGTTTGATCAGGGCGTCAGAGATCTACACAAACACAGAAAAAGGAATTAAACAAAAACAAGCAGTATGACGAAGTCCCCCGTCGCTGAGGAAATAGAACAGTGAATGTTTGTAGATTTCAAGGTGAGTGTTTTTCTGGACTGGAATCGAACAAGGAGTGCCAGTAAACCTAAATGTTTTTGGTGCAAGATATTCAAGTGGGCAGGAGTTACTCTGTGGAGAAGAACAGAGGCTGTTTATTTCTTGCCCGAGGCAGCACAGAGTGGCAGAGCCTGGTGAGAGGAGGGAGACATTTTATCCACCACCAGGTGCAAAGGAGGAGCCAAGGGGTGGCCAATGGTGGCCATGGCCACCATAGATTAATCTTTGGCCGCCAAACCAGCCACACCAAACAGCTGAGAAAACTAAACTTTAAAGTCCAACAAAGTTAAGTCAGGTCCTCTGGACAGTTTCTTTTTGTTGAAACGTTTCGTCTTTCATCCAAAAGACTTCATCAGTCCGAGGAACTACAACAAACTCATGGTGCTCAGGTAGTTTCTGGAGTCTGCCCTCTCCCCCGCCGACTCATCTGAGGCAGCCATGGCCAAAGTGGCTCAAAATATCATGCTCAGTGATCCAGGTAGAAATACCCAACAAAGTTAAGTCAGGTTCTCCGGACGGTTTCTTTTAGTTGAAACGTTTCGTCAAATGAGTTGGCGTGGGAGAGGGTGGACAACAGAAACCATCTTACCACCATCAAACTGGTTGACCCACTAGGAAGGTGCTATTTATAAGACTGAGTTTTTTTGTGGCTCCTCGGACTGATGAAGTCTTTTGGATGAAAGAAAAAAACTTTCAACAAAAAGAAAACAAGACCCGACTTAACTTTGTTGGATTTTTCTACCTGGATTACTGAGCATGAATGAGGATGTACTTTAAAGCAAGATAAAAACTAGAAAGCATAGTTTCCTCAAATGATAGGAGTGGCTTGTTTACATATACATATACATACATACA